TTTAGTGCATGTTAAAAAAAAAAAAACTATATCCCCCTCCCAATAACAAAATTATTTAATGTGAGAGGTCTACTCACGTATACCGTATGTTTTGTCATAAACCTGCTATAGTTCTAATTTTGTTTTYCTTATGTTTTTTTTCTGGTGATTGCAGTCAAACGTAGAGAAAAGTCTCAAATCTGGTATGACGGAAGCAAAGATACAGTTCTGTGACAACTGCAACTCAACGGCTATGGACACAGGGATCGGGATGACAGACCCTGGGACGCGTGTGATTACGATCATCGAAGCGACGGACGAGTTGGATGGAAACACGGTAATAAACTCAAACTCCATATTCAGCGGCAACGACAAAAGGCTAAAACGAGGCGTGGAAGCCGCTTCGTTGGCTGGCAATGGTACGGTGGATAGTGACGACGACCCGTCGTTGTCGGACGAGATGATGCTGGCTGGACTGGACGTACCCAAGGCAACGCCAATCAAACGTGACACGGCCGACGGGCTGCCGGATATGACGCAAGCGATCATGGAACAGCGTGTCGACTACGACGTGGACGAGGAGTTCCAAGTGGCTAATGGACATGGGTTCGATTCACCTAGAACCAGGCCGGTGAACAACTACCGCGGTTACAACAACCGCCACCCTGATGAACACTTGGAAGACGACGGTGATGATTTTGATGATAGTGACCATAATTCGCACTACGAGTACGTGCCAATGGAGTTCGACGACGAAGGCAACCACAGGTATTTGTCGAGTTAACAAAAAAAAAAACTATATTTTACTGATGGTTTTACAGAGAGTTGATGAAAGTTCATAGAATACGTTTTTGATAYATAAAGATTAAGAAAATATTTTCAAAATAATCAATGAATTTTTTCCCAATCAATTTGAGTTCTAGTGCCCGTTAAATAGATGTTGGTGCAATGTCACATATTTTGTTTTAAATTCCCACGTTTTACATGTTCTGGAAAAAAGTTTCCTTACATTATAGACATATATGTCTGCATTGGCCAAATCTGTTAAAATCCAGTTATCCAGTTCATATGAATGTTTAAACCCTAACATGAGCATAAATGGTAGTAAATACGATCACATACACGTGTATGCTGCCGGGAGTAACAGAAAGATATGACAAATGAAACGTACATAAAAACATATAAAATATATAACAGAATGTCATATCTTTCTGTTACACACTACTGTATACTAAAAATATGTAACTTTGTTGTTACACGATGAATTGATGCTATTTTTTTTCCCCATTTACTGCAGGCCACTAACTTTGCCAAACTACTTGGACTCTAAGAAGCCCGTCAAGTCCAGCAAGTATGGTGCGTCCAAGGCGCCATCATATCCACGGCCGCCCGCTTTTAATAGTTATGGAAACGGAGGCAGTAGTAGTGCATCTCCGCTGTTGCACAGTCATGACTTCGTGCCGCTGCGCGGTAAAGGTAATGGAGGAGGAACTGGAGGCTTCGGAGGAGGAAATTCGGCTACGGGATATTCGTATGGAGTAGTCGAAGGTCTGCAGTCTGATGGTGATTTTGATGACTATCGTGACGTACCATCGCCGTACTTAAGTCGACCGTTATTGGGTGGTGGCGATGGACCTAAGTCGTTCGTATCGATGACTCGCAGCAATTCAGACGAGGCCGATCCCGGTGACGTATTCAACATCGATCACGGRCGTGGCTCTTATGGCGGCGTTAAGGGTCCACCACGTGATCACCGAGGTTACTCGTCCGCAGACCACGATTACGAGGACGATACATACCGCGGTCACGAACCTGCGAAGTCGGTACCGATTTCGCCGTACTACTATCGCTCTGGCGATTACGCTCACGAACCATCATCGACTTCGGTCCAGTCCAAGATACACGACACCGACGGAAAGCCGCCGAAGTCGAAGGCCTACTGGAGGATGTCGTACGTGCAGGACATTTAGGAACCACCTCACCGATCATCACCATCTTCGAACACCACCAAYCACCTGCACCAGCTAGTTCTACCACTACYATCTTTACCAGTCTATACCATCATAATTAGTTGAGGATAAACCTACGACATTTTTATSGTTGTGCGAATATTTGCTTTTGAGTATCTTTAGTACTGAAAATTTACTATTTAAACGCCGACACAAAAACAAAATGTTATGTGCTATCGTATCATTGAACGGACATTTTTTTAATTGGAGGATTGGACTAATTATTTTTTTTTTTTTTTTATTGGTTAAGTCGTTCATTTAAAACCCTAACTATGTGCCTCGGATTTTGTACCGTAATAATGAACACGATTTTAATTTTGCTCGGAACGAATGATTTATTTTCGGATGTTTCAACAAGAAAAAAACTATGTTCATGTTACATATTAATCATATTTAACTATCAATATACATACATGTTTATTGTGTAACTAGTATATTCGAACCCTAGAATCGTTGCGTGTAGATTACTCGAGCTTGTTGAGAAACGGTGAAATGGAATCGATGTTCTCGCAGTCCGGTATCATTTTTCCTTTGAACTTCACGCAGGAGTCTGCGCACAAGGACCCCTCGAAGTAGTCRCCCAACATCTTCTTACACTGTGCACAGTTCCTGATGCACATGGCCACATCCGCCATATCCGCCGCCGTGTAACCTATGATTGTAGCCATCAATACCAACGCCATGGCCAAGATGGCGATTTTCTTGGATGGAGTATTCATCGTTTGAGTTTTCCTTAAAAAAAATCTATGTGTAGTGTCGACGCCTATAATAAACCTTGTTCCGATAAAAACTGTAATCCAACTCACCTTTGAGATATCGTAAAAATTTCTTGCGCTAGTCGTAGGTTCTCGTAAGTCTGAAYGTAGGACACTGACGAATTGAACATCGGTACCGGTCATTTTATACTCACGATTTGTATAATTCAATCGAGTATTTCGTTTTGAAAATACCCACTGCCTGCCGCGCACTAGCTTTTAGTTAATTCGATATGTTTTTGTGTTTGTCGGAGTATCATTAATATATTATATCGTCAGAATCGGGACRATTTAATTATTCTGGTGCGTTAGACGCGTCCATTACCGAAAATTTTATTTCCAGAGTTTTTATTAAATAGGTATGTAGAAGTGTAGGGTTAATTCAAATCATATAGTATTACTATATCATAAAAATATATCCTATCGTAATATACGTTTTTATAACATATCACAACACCGTTTTTACCGAGATTCACTCTAGAACACAATTTACTTTTTAACTGGTCRAGTATCTTAGAATAATCGATAAACAATATTTATTATTTTCATTAATATTATTATTATTATTATTATTATTATTACAAATATGCAACTTATATAGTTATTTTTATATTTTTATTTTGCCAATGGTATTGAATTGGYATTTTTTAATTATTCTTTAAAATATAGAAAATAGTATAATATGTTATAAAATATATCATGTACATTTTATTTTTTTATTTATCAATAAAAATATGATAACTATTCATGTTGATTAAAACAAATAACTCTTACCAGTTTCCATCGATGTCGATAAAATACCAAATAAAATAAAAATTGTTTTGACAATTCATAGGATTGTTAGAGATAGTGGTTGCCATTAGTTGCATATAATAATTTATTGTACTATACACTTTTATAATTTGTTATTACACATAATATATATATATATTATACAGGGTGATTCTTTTATCAAACAACGCTCATTATTTCAAAAACTATTGACTTTTTTCAATTTTTTTTTTTTCAAAATTTTACATCCATCTTGTTCTAGAACTATATATTTTTTTTAAATATTCTCACCCTTATATTTATCAGGTAATCCATTATCAACTTTTGATTTTCAAA